AAACACCTAATGTTTAATGATTTTTCAGAATGTGGTGAGGAGCTGTATGAATCTCAGTGGTAATGCTATCAGAGAATAGGCACCATAACAGATAAGACATGCTTCCAGGATCCCAGAAGATAATACTTTAATTAACTGGACCCAGTCTGCTTGATATGTGAGGTGGGCAGAAAACAATAGATGGCAAGGGAGCTAAGCTTTATCCCATGAAGGGTTTTATAGGTGATAACCAACACCTTTATTGTACCTGAAGTCAACTGGTAACCAGTGTAACTCACATGAGCATAATGTAACACTCCTAACACTGCCAGTCCCATGGCATTCTAAGATTAACTATGGCTTCTGAGGAATCCTCAAGGGCAGTCTAACTAGAGTGCATTACTATAATCCAGTCATGAGAAGACCAAGACAGGAGTGACTATCTAAAAGACTTGAAGACAACATTTTCATTCCACATGACTACTAATAAAATGAGAAGTAGTATGAATTTTCTTTCAACTAGTTTGGATTTTTCTAGATTAATGCACACCTTATCCTTGCTCAAAGGCAGGGGTGGGATGCTACTGGTTCGGCCAGGTTCTATAGAACCTGTAGCTGCGAAGAGCAGTTAACACTGAACTGGTTCGGTGTTTGGCCCACCCACCTGCCCGGGCTCTAGGCTGTCCTTTATTCCCTGCTTTTCCCTCCTCAGCTGCTTTGCACGGCACAGCTAAGGTTGAAAAAGCAGGAAACGAGGATTTTCAAACGCTGCATACCTGAGTGTGCTTGTCAGCTGTCCAGGTGGCACAGCGGATGATTTCTTGCAAACACTACATACACGATTGTCCGCAGTTCAGAGAACCGGCAAATCGCTCCACTAGCTGGCTGTTCCCCGCCCTGCCCACTTACTCCTTACCTGGCATGCGAACCATCCAACTTACCTGGTTTGGTAAGTTGCTATTTTTCCTTTTCTTTCCCCCTGCCCATCAGCTGTTCTGCTCTGCCGGGAGATTTAAATTAGCTAGAAAGCAAGAAATCCTTGGATTTCTTGCTTTCTAGCTAATCTAAAAGCAGAGCCGAACTTCCCTTAGGACTGAAGCTTTTCAGTGCAGACTCAGGTAGCCAACTGCAGATAGATAGATCTCTAAGTGAATCTGTGATTCTGTGAGCAATTCAATCTGCCTGCCTGCTTTGCCTGCTTTTGGTTAAAAGTTGTTCTTTTTTTAAATAAAAATTTTAATATTTACATATATGGTGTGTTGTGAGTTAATTTTGTGAGTTTGCTTGCGAGCAAATTTTATGTGACAGACTCAGGTAGCCGATTGCAGATAGATAGATCTCTAAGTGAATCTGTGATTCTGTGAGCAACTCAATCTGCCTGCCTGCTTTGCCTGCTTTGGGGTGAAACTTGCTTTTTTATTAAAAAAAATCAATATTACATAAATATTTATATACAAGCCATGCCCACCCAGTCACATGACCACTAAGCTACACCCACAAATTAGGCCACACCCACAGAACCGGTTGTTAAGAAATTTGAATCCCATCCCTGCTCACAAGTAAAATGCTGCAAATGTTATCTCAAGAACAGATCTGCCCCTGTTATGTGTTATTCCTTTGTCTCTCACAAACAACAGCTAAAGTTCTAGACCTAATTTGAGTTTTAATACATTGGTTATGAAGAGGTCAGAAGAGCAAATATTAGTGCAAGCTCTGTGTACTAGATTTACTTGTTATCACTCAAAAACCATACAAATGTTCCAAATAGTTCAAGAATAAAGATCTTGAAATGAAGAACCTTTCAATTTTTGAGTAATTTTAAAGATGAGAGAGCCATCTTCTAAATGAGACAATGTAGTGGAACTGAAAAAAAATCACAGCTTTTTTTTTTAACTTTGTTTTCATTTCTTTAAAAACAACTTCTTTTAAACCAATATTAGTAATCATCAAAGGAAGTTTGTATGTTTTTCTAATTGCTTTTCTCAAAATAAAAGCAAAATAAAAGTAAAGAATATAAAACTATACTAAACTATAATGTACTTCGTATCAAAAAACTTTTATTGTGCGTACAGTAACTCTATGGTGTTCATCCAGATTGCACAATTACATCTAGACTTTTCAGCATTAAATAAATGTGAAAGACAAAAAATTCTGTAGATGTTATGTGCACAAATAAATGAGGTATTCTCATTTTACAATACTCAAAACAATTGCAACAAACATATAATAGTAAAACTGGCATTCTAAACAAAAAGTTGAAATATGTACAATGTTAGGGATAAAAATCAAAGTCTACAAAACAGTAAGAAATCTGAGTTTTTTCAGATTTCACATAAAATGAGATAACAAATACAGTATTTAAAGATAATATACATACTATTCTAATATTTTATTCATTTTATTAATTTGCAACCATATAAACTCCTACTTCTATCACTTTTATTAATATAAAGCAAAATATCAGTATTAACTGTGATTTAGGGTACAAAATTGGAAACACAAAAGAAAAGCTTTCTTTATTTCCTATTTATCCTCCTGAATAAAAACAAATATTTCTGAGGATTAGTTCACTGTTTCTTGACTACTGGGAGAATCGTACAGTATTTAAAAATACATATAATAACAATAATGATAAGAAAAAACATTACAAAAAAACCAGTGCATAAAATTGGCTATTTTACATGGCATAATTACCTGAGAGACTTGAACTTTAAGTAGGGGAAGAACAATACACTGCTATTAACAGTTACGTCAGGTAAGATAACAGAAATTGAATAACTGAAAATCAGGAATTATGAAGCACCTAAATATAAAAAGATACATTCTACAGATTTCAGAGAAATAAAGTAGATTAATGGTTGGCTATCTAGACAGGAAGGTCACCTAATGCTGAGCCTCATGAATATGTGAATGAGTGAGGTTGGAATTCTATAACATAAATTTAGCAATTGTTTTGTTAAAGCGGTCTTGCTATGTGATGATAACCACAGCATTTTGTGAGACTTTCAGATCATACTGGAACTAATCATGCCAAACAGTCCAAATGTCTGCAAATCATGGATAAAGTTCATAAAGGCAAGCACTGAGCTTCAGTACACAAAAGCAGCTGCAAGCCACCAGCTTTCCGGTGCCCTTCCTAAGAAAGTCCTATATTCTACTAGAATGTGAATGTAATGATTTGTAATACTCTATAAATAATTAACAGAAAAATAAATTAACAATGGAAAATGCATACAAAATCCTTACAACACTGGCCTTGTTCTTCTGTATCCTTTTCCAGGTATGGAAATCAGCAATTGCCAAAAGAGCCTGCTTAGTATAACAGCTTAATTAAATATTAATACTGGTTTACTTTGGATTAAATTTTAATCAATATTTAATAATCAATAATCAAACATCAAGTGATTTTCATAGACTATAAAAATGATTTCAGCCCAATGGATGAATTATACCTCAAGTTCAAAGAAGAGAAACTTCTTGTCAAATTCTGAATTAGGCCATAAATAGTACAAGTTAGAAAAGGATGGGCAACTATGGTAACATTATGAACTCTGGACTTTAACTCCCAGAATTCCTGAACCAGCATGGTTCACCCGAGTTAAAAGTGGGATTTTAATGAGGAGGAGGGGTGCAAACAACTCTGAGATTTATAGTGAAACATCTCTACCCCATGTGATAATAAAAGTTCCTTAAGAGCAAGCTTCAATCTCTAAGTCCTTATCTGAAACCACTAATTTCTTTTCTTAAATGCCAATGGCAAAAACCACACCATATTTTCATTGTTCTTTCATGCTAAAACTTCAACTTTAAAGCAAAACCTTAAACGACACACAAAAGAAAAACTGTAAAATGGCTGTTACCATGATGTAACAGGAAATAATTATTTTATTCAAATAAATATACAGCAAAAACTGAGGGGAATCCCTTACCCATCAACCACCAGAAGAACTTAAATCACTTAGGACAGTGTTTTTGAGTTTTAGCCACTTGAAGATGTGTGGACTTCAACTCCCAGAATTCCCCAGTCAGCATAGCATAGCTGGCTGAGGTATTCTGGAAGTTGAAGTCCATAAATCTTCAAGTGGCTAAGGTTGATTCAGGATATTTCCTGTGGATACCCAATTATTTCCTCCTCAGGCTGTAACAATGATAAACATCCTGATCCTGCTTAGGCAAATCCTTAAAACCTGGCTTTATTCCCAGGGCCTGGATTAGAATGGAGTCTATCTGTTTGCAGATTCTTTTGCTTAATAGATGGCCATTCTTCTCCAGACCTCCTTTCAACTCTATATTGTATGGTTCTGATTGTTTTTCATAGTTGCAAATTGCCCAGTATCTATGTCACCTATGCATTTCATAAATAAATAAATAAATAATGAATGAATGGATGGATGGATGAATGAATGAATGAATGAATGAATGAATGAATAAATAAATAAATAAATAAATAAATAAATAAATAAATAAATAAATAAAAGAAGTCCAGCCCTGCAGAAAACTATGGTATGTAAATCAGTCTTTTAGGATGACATATCAATACTGCCTTCATTTTCTGTTCATCGTTGCAATGGCTGAAATGATCCCTGAACTCAGAACATCCTATATGCAACTGAGATTTCTGAAGAACACCTGTTTGCTCGAAACTTGAAACAAACTTGTTTCAAATCTTTTCTTTCCTGACATCTCATTTTCGGCAAACTACTGTGAATGTATTATGAGAAATTTCCAAACACAGTACTTAGGAAAATAACTATAAATTCTCCTCCTACAACCTTTCAGTTAAAATAGTATAAAAGTGAAAATAGCCGTTCTAGAAATATTGGCATTGATTCTTCTTCTGGCCCAGTCTTGGCACTAAGAACTATCTGCCTGCTTTTCTTGCATTTTGACTGGTACTACACAATACATTGCTTTTGTCTATTAAAAGTCAGCATTATAATTTTCTACCATAAGAAGTACTAACAAAATATTTATACGATGCTGGAATTCAAAATGTACAGA